GCACTCCAGCAGCCTGACCCCCATTCAGGTTTTGTCAGGGAACATTCAGCCGAGGGAGTTCCAAGGAAATTCCTTAAGGGCTCTGTGGTCTAAGAAATGGATCAGGTTGAAGGCCATTGCAAGGATTTACACTCTTCCACCTCTGCTATGCTGTCTGGTGCTGGGACTTTCTCATGATCCACAGGGAATGCCCACCACACACAGATGCTTGGGACGGCCTTTTTGCTGCTCAGACAGAGCTCAGGAGCACATACTTTATTTAGTATTAATCACTCAGATGTGACTAATAAATACTTGATAATAAACAATCTGCTTTCAAAAAACATGCCACACCAAGTATCTTTTCAGTAGTGCTGCAACATAATTTTATTGCAAGGAATAAATAAACAGCACATTAAAAGTAGAAGAAATAAACAGAAAATATTAGGGAATAATCTCTGAGCAAGGGCTATTAGAAATAAGTGCTTGCTTTTTTTTTTTTTAATAGCATTGCTAATGGCACTGGGTAAGAAGTAATTTGTTTGGCTGTTGCATCTGAAATGAGAAATTAACTTTATTTAGCAGGTCATCCTTCACAAATGCTAGAGTTCAGCTGAAGTAAAGTTATGCTCTGGTCAGTTCCTCTCAGAAATGCCAAGATCCTTTAGAACACTGAAATTTTTAAATGCTGAAATACTGCAGGATAATTCCTATGTTCCATATATGCTTACTTTGTATCCTGTGACAGGGAAAATACTGAACAATGGCAAAAATTGGAAAATCCTTTTCAAAAGACCAATTCCCATTCTGAGTAATTCCACTGTTACTCAATGCACAGTTCCCAGGCAGTGCAGTACAACTCCCTGGTGTCTCAGAGGGCAGAATGTGGCACTTTATATTTTATATTAGATAGGATGGATACTTTAAATAGCTCCAGATTCAGTTCCAGTTCACACTTTAGACTAATAAGGCTGAAAGGAATTCTATTTTTCCACTTTTTTTTTTTACTCAGTGTGGTCTTTTCCTCAGAGCATTCAGGTTAATGTTACTCTCTGGTTCTCAAGTATTAGGCAGTGTCTCCCTGGCTTCACTTTTCTTGTCTTTGTAGCAGTAACTCCTCCTGAGTCTCTGTGATTCCTTGCTATTGCTATGTTGGGAAAGTCAGGGGGCTACAAGAAATGTGTGCCCAGGCAGAGAAAGGCTCAGATTCTCTGTGTCATGGCTGAATGATCTATTACAATGGAGTTGCTGTATGAAAAAAGTTTCTTCTATTTATTTTCTTTTTAAAATAAAAGCGTGGTCTCTCTTTGGCCTTGGAACAAATTCAGACATTAACTACAAGGAAATAGTTCAGGCAACAGAGACAGGGAAAAATTATGTAGCACAAATAGCCAAGGCAACCCTGGAGCAAGAGAGCCTTTACTGACACTCTGGTGTCTGCACAGTCCCTTTGCTGGCACTTGAGAACCTTTTTTCTTGGTATCAATTTGTCTCTCAGGTACTGTAAAGAGAGGCCTGAACTGTCTAAAACACTTTGAAGCCCCAGGAGCCAAAGTCCAGAAGACAGATATTGAAATGCTGAGCAGAGTTACCTTTGTCTTCCCCTCTGTGTGTCTTGTTCTTCAGCACATGTTCTTTTGTCATAAACTCATTTAACATTTTAGATTTAAAATCTACCATGACGTTTTCAAGTTTGATGCTTCAGCATGTTCTTCAAGGATGATAGAAAGCCCTTCATATTTGTTTCAAAGATCATGCAAATCTTTTATGGCTCTGAACTATACATTTCAGCTTTGTAGCTCTAGAAATAGAGTTCCAACTCTGGAAAATATATTTCTTATTCATTTAAGGTACAATCAAGATGATTGCTGGTGAAACACTTTTCTTTGATTCCATTATAATAACATCTATTATTGATCTTAGAAAAAAACCGGTTATAACTGTAGAGTGGAAGACAGACAAAATTATCTCCACAAGAGTGGAACAAAAGAGTAGGCCTTGCCTTGGTGCATTTGCATTTGCTCTATAAGCACATCACACAGGCTGACTGATAAGTGTAGAAAAAAATAAGGGACCTGTTCTGTCAGCACAGTCTGGCTTAGCACAACTGCCTGGCCCTGAGCCTGGAAAAAGCACAGAGAATTGACAATCAGCCCAATAAAAACAACTGGGTAAGGAAACAGGCTTTTTGTAAAAGTGCCCACTCAGTACTGCTGACCTCCTGGGCATGTGAGAGCTCCTGGGGAAAGCTGTGGGAGTCATGGCCATCGAAAGTTTGCTGGCAGGAATAAAATGTTGTATTTACATGTCCTCTGAATAGAGAGAGATTTAACTTTCTCAGGATTTCTCCTGAGAGAAGCTGTGAGAGAAGCAGAGGAAAGAGAATCAAAACAATTCTTATCTCACCTCACTGGTTGTTGTGCACATGTGGAATGTGTTAGGAGATTGTTTACACAAGGTGATTTCTTAATGGGATACTGGTGATGGTGTTTTGGATTGATTGACCAATTGGATCCATGTGTGTGTCAGGACTCTCGGCAGAGAGAGTAACGGGTTTTCTAGTTACTTAGTGATAGTTCTTGTTAGTGTAATATAGTTTTAGTATAATATAGTATAATAAAGTAATTAATTAGCCTTCTGATATCATGGAGTTCTGCACATCATTCTTCCCACATCAGGGATCCCAGCACCGATAATAAAACACTACTGTATGCCAGAATTGATCCCACTCATTCACAAACCTCATGGACTGTGAGGAAGAAGGACTGGAAATCCTAGGCAGAGTGGCAGGCATAGGCTCATTTGGCAACATACAACCAGAGAAGAAATATTTCATCCACTCAGGCTGTGGTGTCAACACTTTGAGGCTGAATTTACCATAACTGACTACATGGAAAAACACATTCACCAATTAGGAGCTAATTTATGAATCCATGAAACATAAGAGACTCCAAAGCAGATGTCTAAAGATGGCAATCCTTCTGTATTGCAACAAGACAGCTTGCTGGCCATGCCAACCATGAGATCTCTGTTTTCCTCAGGAGTAATAATGATTAAAATTGGTTGAAATGCCTGCCTGTGGGAATTAAAGGACAAGAAGGAATTAAGAGTTGGACTCCTACTGAGATGGTGAGACACTTGTGTGTGATAATCTTTTGAAGGCTGAACCTGAAGCTTAGGAAAAAAACAGCTGAGTGCTCACACAAACTCCAGCTAGATGTAAGAAACTCAAAAAGCAAAATGTGGTGGTGCTTTATTAAGAACAAAAGATGGGAGCCTGGAATTTGAATGTTAATTAAATAATGACAAAGACTGAAAGAGGAACACAAACCAAGCAAACAGTGAAACACAGTAGTAGGAAAGAGAAGGTGAGAGGTGATGGTGACCCAGCTAGTGAAGAGATCTCTTTTATGTCTGGTTGAGATCCTATAGAAAAGGATTTCAGAATATGACATGGGCCCCTCAAAAACAAGATGATGAAGATGTTTGAAGTGAGGTGGAAAACAGACATGCACAGAAATCTACTTCACCTCAAAAAATGCTTTTATAAAAGTCAGCAGAAAAGAACACCTGTAACTGACATTGACATTCGTGTCATATCCAAGGGCTAGAGTTAAGATAAAGATCAACAAAAAAGTGATAAAGGGTCACAATCATTTCATAGAGGAAATGCTAGAAAGTAAACAACCCTGTCTTCCTTAAAAGAGAGGGAAAAAACTCCCACAAATCAGACTAATATGAAATGTTTTAGTAGTGGGGAGAAAAAAATCCCTTCTGAGCAGTGAAAATAAGGAGTTGTCTGAAAACTAAGCAAGCTGCACAAACTGGACATGAGTCACACTACTGCTAAAGGGAAACATTTTCTATGGTCTGAAGGACAATATCTGAAGGAAATATCTTTATAAAGATAAATATATATTTTGAACATCTTTATAGTACATATCAGCATATAATAGAATACAGGCATGGCAGACTTCTCATCTATTTTGGCAGATGGCAGGGTTTTTTTAAAATAAAGGAGTGTTACTGTGTTTGAAGAATATAACAAGGCAAACAGCAAATCTATCATTTTACCCTTGCCCAAGATGCTCAGTTGTTAATTTGCTCTTTCCCTGTTCATGTCAAAAAAATTCAGGGCTCAGTTCTTCATTTGCTCTTTTCTTGTTCAAGTCGAACAAACTCAGAGCCCTGGTACGCAGCTCTCTCGTGAGATGTACTGTTGCAAGCACTCAGTTTAAATAGAAGAGACGGAGCAGCAGAACAGGATGCAGTGTCTTCACAGGGCGAAGCAGGCGCTGGGACACGCAGGGAGCCAGGAGGGTCAGAGCAGAGTCACGCATCGCCCTTGCCATTCCCGAGTCCCTCTGCTGCTTGGGCTGTGCAGGGGGAGCCCGGGGGATTCCGCCCGGGAAGGGACGAGGTAGTGCGGGGATGCGGGGATGCGATGGCACCAGGCTGGCTGTGCCGCTCACACTCTGCTTTTTCCCTGCGCCTCGGGAATGCTGCCCCTGGGCCAGGGCTGCAGCGGTACATTTATGGCAAGGGGTCAGAGCTGCGGCTGCAGCTGCGATTCCGGCCCAAATCAGGAGAGGGGAGCACCAGGGGGGATCGCTGCGCCTCTGGGCTGTCCCCTGGAGCCCAGCACCGGCCTTCCCACCGTGCCCCTGATACCTACCCTGGCTGGGCCCGGGGGATGTCCTGACGCCCCCCCCCCCCC